GCGCACCTGCGCTGGCACAGAGCAGCTCCCTGGCTCACCTCCTCATCCAGACCGCTCAGTGTCTCATTCCTGGCCAGACACAGTTATCTGGAAACCTTTGGGGTCACTTGGCTTCATCACAGTTGTAACATGGAAATGGGACACTAGGAAGGATGGCAAAAGGACAGCTCACGCCTGGGGCGCTTCCCTCCAGTCCTAGCTTCTCAGCTCACCAGAGACACCAGCAACAGACAGTTCCCTGCGTGACAGCAAGGGAGCCAAGAAGCCAGAAGTGGCCCGGAAGTCTGGGCAGAGGGCCAGCCAAATAGCTCAGCGAATTAAAGTGCCTGCTTAGGCAGATGCAGGGGCCAGGAGTTCAATCCCCAGGCCTGCCATGACAGCCCCGCCCCCAGTTGTGCTGAGCCAGTGATTGAGACAGGGCACGGTGGCACATGCGTGTAATCCCTTGGGAAGCTAAACACAGGAAGATCACTACAAGTCCATTCTACACAGTGAGACCCTATACACTCTGTCCTAAAATACAAAAAAAGTATGGGCGGAACTTCTGATCAGTGGGTGATGCAGGACTCAACCTTGCCTCCCCCTGGTGCCTCCCCCAGTATGCAAGGAAAACAATGACTTTAAAGCCAAAGTTTCACAGGATCAACCATTCTAAAAATTTTAGAAGAATCTGCCAAGGAAAGATCAGGCTGGAATAAAATGGAGAAAAAGTAATCCTGCCTTTGATGGGGACACAATGGGCCCACAGAGGTGAGAGTGACATGGGCCGTGACGACCCTGTGCCTGGCAGAGAGCGGGGAGGGAGAAAGCAGACCTCAAGAACTCAGTCTGGTGCCTGCAATCCCAGCAGTCAGGAGGCCAAGGCAGAAGGACCGCTTAGAGTTTAAGGGTAGCCTGGGCTACACAGTGAATTCAAGGCAGGCTGCACTACACAGTGCAACTCTGCCACAAACCAAGACAAACTGCACTCAGTCTAGGGAAGCACAACCCAAGCTGTGACTTCCCTAAGGCTCCAGACAAATGAATCGGCAGAGATGAGACACTACTGAAATGAACGCTAAAAGGCAAGATAATAAATCAGGGAATAAGGTGAAAAGATGCAGAGCTAAGGACATCAACTGAGAGCCACGTGACACCAACAGAGCTAACAAATAGGTTAGAGCAACACAAAGCAGACTAGACAGGAGCGAAAACTTGAGTAAGGCAGGAGGGAGGGCTGCGAGGACTTCAATGAAGGCAAAAAAAGACAGGGGGAACTCATCTTGCCCCAGTCAGAAGAAATGTGATGACAGGGAAGCAAAGGGACGAGACAAACGAAGATCAGTTTCGGAAACAGAAAATCTAATATGGATAACCAGAGAAAATCTTCAGAAACAACAATTTTTAAAAATGTCCCTAAATTGAAGGAAAGACTCAACCTGATCACGGCACTTCCCAAAACCATGCTTAGAACCAGGAGCTGCTGGAGCAGAACTGTCTGAGCTCGTCTGAGAGGACGAGTGAGACTCTGGCGAGGCCACTTCCAAGTGTAAAGGCAGCGGCAGAAACGCAGGGCTGGAGCAGAGCACCAACGCACACCCCAGGAAGTCCTGCCTTCCCGCACTTAGGGACCCGAGGGCGAGGCTGGGTTAGGAGTGCAAAACAAAACCCACGAAATTGCCGAGTGTGGTAGCACACACGCCTGTAGCTCTAGCACTCCGGAGGCTGGGGTGGGAGGACCCTTTGAGTTCACAGCCCGCCTGAGCTACACAGTGAGTTCACAGCCAGCCTGAGCTACACAGTGAGTTCACAGCCCGCCCACGCTGCCTAGCACCTCATTTCAAAAAAAAAAAGAACAAATGCCAGGTGTGATGGCACATGCCACAGTGTAACCCTGAGAGGCTGAGGCAGGGGGACTGCAAGTTGGAGGCCAGGTTGGGCCACTTAAGGAGACCCTGTCTCAAAATAAGAAATTCAAAAAGGCAGGGGGTGTAGGTCAGAGCAAGGCGGTCCTGGATTCAATCTCCAGAGCTGTAAACTAACAGAAAAAAAAAAAAAAAAAGGAAAGGAAAGAAAGAAAATAGAAATAGAAAAAACTAACGACAAAAATGGGGCCAGGGTTACTGCTCAGTGGTGGAGCGTTAGCCAGCATGTGGGAAGAAGACCTGGATTTCATCCCCAGTACCACAAAAAGAAAAAATCAGGATGGGGTTAGAATGTGTAAAAAAGTGCTAACTGCCTCACCATCGGCAGGTAGTCAGTTTTTCTGTCAAAGCTAAATATAACTTTTATTTTACAACAATAATACTTGCAATATATCTTATGCCTTTGATCACTTCCATCGAGCAGTTATCTATCCATCCACTTAGCTAGGTCTCTGGGGACTAAGACAGCCAGAATGAGGACTACCACACATTAAGGCTGCCGTTTCCGAGAAGTTGGAGGTCGCAGGATAAGCCATCTGCGGTTAGGAAACTTTAGAAGATAGGTTTCTGGGTGGTTTTCACCCATATTTTGTGTATCTTCCATTCTGAAATATGTCCATAGACATGAAAGAAACTTCTGGCCATAAAGGACGGCTGAGAAGTCAGCCGTGGTGAGCCAGAAGGCACATGCCTCTAATCCCAGCCCTGTGGAAGGCTGAGGCAGGAAGATCACAGATGCAAGCCAGCATGGGCAGCTGAATGACTTAAGACCCTGCTCAAAATAGAAAATAGGAAAGGTCCCAGGATGCAGCTCAGTAGGAAGGCCCTGGGGTCACCCTCAGTACCACAAAAACAGAATAATAAACCAAAACCCAAAAACCCGAGAATGACCAAAACATAGCAAGGAAAGATTCCCCAAAAGAGATATCTATGGGTTTTTTTCTGGATTTTTTTTTTTAATTTTTTAAAAAAATTTTATTGATGTGTGTGTGTGTGTGTGTGTGTGTGTGTGCGCGCGCGCGTGCGCGCGCATGTGCAAGCCCAGCTCAGCCCACCAGGGGGCGGGGCTGGCTGGCATGTGGTGCTGGGGCTTGTTCGAAGTAGGTGCTTTAGACCACTGAGCCATCTCACCAGCCCTTTTCTGGATTTTTTTGAGAAAGGGTTTTGCTATGCAGTTCAGACTGGTCTTGAGCTCACTTTGTACCCTAAACTGGTCTGGAACTTGCAACGATCCTCCTGCCTCAGCCTCTAAGGTATGCACCACCATGCCCAGCTCGCTATGCTTGTCTGAAGCCAAAAGAGCAGGAACTAGAGAAAAAGCCAACTGAGAAGCAAGGGCTCTTGAACATCGTCCCAGCAGTTTCACTAGCGAAGCCCACCTGTGCAGTACAGGAAGATCCCCCCTTGGCTGCCATGCTGCAGCTCCACGTTCCCATCCGGCTACTGCTTAGCACATCTTCCTAGATACAGGATTTCACACATGACCGGGCCATCTGAGTTCCCAACCTCCTGCCTCTAGGAGACCCTTTCGCCCTGAACACTTCTACCTCTCCACTGTCCAATCCATGGCAGTCCTGGGCGACGACTCTGCCAGGCAGAACCAGGACACAGTCTCTCCTCACCACTTCCCATTCCCAGCCCAGTCTGATTCCATCATCTCCAGACTGGATGGCCAAGGAGGTTCCTGGCCTACCCCAGGACCCACCTTTTTTTTTTTTTTTTTTTTTTTTTTGTGGAACCAGGGATTGAACTCAGACCCTTGCACTTGCCAGGGAAGCGCTTATTCTACTGAGCTATCTCCCTGGTCCCTTCAGGACCCACTCTTGACCTCAACTCTGCTCATCCTCCAGCAGCAGCAAGAGAAATCTTCATACAGCACTGGTCCTCCTCTACTCAACAAGGGCTTTACTTTCACTCAGTAAAACCCGAAGTCCCCACCCACCACAGTCGGTCTATACAGGCCCCTGCCTAGTCCCCTTAGCCCAAGGTCTGCCCTAGGGGCCGGGATGGAGCTCAGCCGCCCAGCACCTGCCTGGAAAGCCCAAGGTCTTGAGTTCAGTACAAAACCCCCTCCACAAGTTTCGCCCTAGAAATATCTAGAACTCTGCAACATCTCAGAGAGGGCTTCTCTGATCTTCGCACTGAACTACATCCCCTACCCCAACTTCAGCACATGGCAATTCTGTCTCTCTTCCTAACTGTATCCCTAGAGCTTAGAAAACACACACACAAAGCAAGTGCACGATATTTGTGTTTGGGTTTTGGTACTGTTTGTTTTTGGTGGAAACGAGATTGAACTGAGGGTTTCACATGGAGCTATGTCTCTAGCCCTTCTTTAACTTTTATTTTTGCTAAATTGCCTGGGCTAGCCTTGAATTTATGAATCTCCTGCCGCAGCTGCACAGAGTGCTGGGATTACAAATGTGCACTACTATGTTCAGCGTTAGTATTCAATATTTTATTCTTCTTGGGGCTGGGAAGATAGCTCTGTGGTCTAAGCGCCTGCCTGGCAAACGCAGGAACCCAGGTCAGATCCCCAGTACTGCAAACAGTGCAGGCCCCAGCCAGGTGTGGTGGCACATGCCTGTAATGCCAGCACTGGGGACACTGAGGCCGGAGGATCACTAAGGTTCAGCTGTGTGGCAGGACCCTGTTACAAGTAAATAAATAAATAAAAATATTTTATTTTTCACAAACATTGGTAAGGGCCAGCGAGACAGCTCAGTGGCCTACAGTGCCTGCTTAGGCAAGTGCAGGGACCCTGGCTCCATCCCCAGCACCACATGCTGCACCCGCCCCACCCCCAGGGCGGGCTGAGCCAGCCACACACACAAAAAAGGTAGTATTTTTCCTACTTCTAGTTAAAGTATTACACATCACTACCATGCTGGCATACATTATTTGCTCTCAGTAAACCAAGCATTAAATTCATGAAAACCTATCAAGCAAGGAGTCAGGATTCATTTGTGGTCACTTCCTGTGTGCTTGCAGCAGGCAGGGACTGCCACCAGAATCAAGTCACCCAGACTTGATTATAGGTGTGGGAAAGGATGCTGTAGCCACCTCAGCACACAGTTAAGAGACAGCAGGACGTACCTGTCCCCGTCGGGTCACCTCCCTGGATCATGAAGTCCTTGATGATTCTGTGGAACTTGGTGCCATTGTAATAACCGCGCCGGGCCAACTCCGCGAAGTTCTTACAGGTCTTGGGCGCGTGCTCCCAGTACAGCTCGAGCACAATGACTCCCATGCTGTGGGCAGAGGACAGCACCGCTGGGTCACAGCCAAGGTCACGAAGGATGTCAGGGACTGCTGTGGTTCTCTCATGCTTTGTTTTTTGAGACAAGGTCTCACTATGCAGCTCAGGTTGGCCTCAAGCTCACTGTGAGCTTAATTCCCCAGGATGGAAGAGAACTGAAGGGGCAGAATTTTGCCATATAAAAAAGTGAGGAATATAGGAAGTAAAGCCATGCTGTTATGTTGAGCTGTGGGGAACTCAGGTCAATAATTTCTGACATTGCCAGTTAAACAGAAGACCCAATGCTATTATGGGCTACTGGACTCTTTTAGAATATTTTGCTGAGTTTACACACCTATAATATTCAAAAACGGAACTTAGAAAAAATAGGGTATACCAGTGAATGTCCATTTTGTATCTGTGTATTCAAAGTGGTTAGGATAGATATATAGTTACATTCTCTTAATGAATAGAATGATTTGTTCTAATGGTGTTTGTAAATAGGATCTCAAGTCTGCATCTTGTACAGCAATTAACTACTAAGAAGAATATATGCAGTGTGTTATTTGTTGAAATTGTACTTCCGATTTGATTTGAAACTGTCTCATTGCTGTTTATCAATAAAATTTTGGAAAAAAAAAAAAGTGAGGAGGGGGCCGGTCAAATAGCTCAGCGGATTAAAGCACCTACATAGGCAGATGCAGGAGCTAGGGTTCGATCCCCAGCATACCATGCCAGCCCCACAGCTGAGCGGGCCAGTGAGACTGGATGTGGCAGCAGGCACCTATAATCCCAGCTCTTGGGAGGCTGAACACAGGCAGATTACTACCAGTGTGATCTACATAGTGAGACCCTGTAGATCCTTATTAAAATACAAAGAAAAAAAAAAGCAAGGAGGAAGATGGCTAGGGAGCAGAAACAGCGAGAACTGCGCTCTGACTGAAAAGCAGCAGGGGAAGACCAGAAAGAGAGAGGAGGAAGGCAGGGAGAGAAGAGATGGAGAGAGGGAGAGAAGGGGAGAAGGGAGGAAGGGAGAGAGGGAAGGAGGAGTGAGAGAGGGAAGGAGGGGGAGGGGGAGAGAAACCAACCCAAATGACAAAATTTTGACATTATACTGTTTGTATTACAGAATTTATTTATTTTTCTATTGAGACAGGGTCTTGCTATGCTGTTCAGGATGACAGGATCCTCCTGCCTCAACCTCCCGAGTGCTGCGGTTACAGGTGTGCGCCACTACACCCCGCCTTAATAGTATACCATTATAGCACCAACAAGTCATTTTAGGTTCTTGAGCAGAGCCCACTGACCGCCCTGCTTTAGGAAGACCAATTTACAGGAGGCTGAGGCTGCAGGATCATTGTCACCTGGGCTACAAAGTGAGCTGAAGGCCAGGCTGAACCCTACAGCCAGACCCCGTTTCAAAAAGAACGAAAAAAAAGAAAAAAAGAAAAAAAGAAAGAAAAGAAAGAAAAAAGAAAGAAAGAAAGAAAGAAAGAAAGAAAGAAAGAAAGAAAGGAAAAAAAAAGAAAAGAAAAGGAAGCTCAATTGCAGAGGTGAGGGGGTGAGCGAGGGGGCTTGCGCGCGAGGCAGACTGACCCTGCTCCCGAAAGGGCTCCCTCCACTCACCAGCCACGCAACTTTGGTCAAACCATTAAGAACCTCCGTGCTAAGACCTTATCAAGCTGCGAGAACGATTAATAAATTAGGCGACCGCGCGGGTCAGCGGCACGTCCCCCGCAAGAGGGTCCTCGATTCTATCGCTACTCCACGAGTCTGGGGAGCTTTCCTGCAATTGCACAGCGACCTGCGACGCACCCGCGACACCGCGTGCGGCCTCGGACCCCGCGTTCGCGGAGCGAAGGACCGCCGCGGCAGGCGGCGAGCCCCCCCAGCCGTCCCGGGCTGCCGGCCCACGTGGACAACGGCCCCGCGGGGCAGCGCGCCGGAACGAAGCCGCGAGGATGCCGGGCCCCGCGTCCCCCCGCCGGCCCGGCCCCGCACGTCAGCCCCCCTCACCTGGTCTCCAAGAAAACGTTGGGCGGCTGCCAGGTGTCGGGGGGTATCGCCGCCATCACCAACCCTGCGGAACCCTCTTCTAGCAGCAGCCACTTCCGGCGGCGGGGCGCGGGGGACCCGTCATCGCGGCGCACACTTCCGGCCCTCGACCGTCACCCCCTTTTGGAGTCCAGGAATCGAGGAGGGAAACAGGGACGAGAAGAGTATGGAGCCTTCCTTCAAGGTCAGAAAGCTGAGGTGTGAGCCTGGAGAAACCTAACTGCCAGGACAGAGGATGGTGCTAGATTCATCACAGGCTATCCCCAAATGTCGTGTCCGCCACTCTCCGATCAACCCGATTGGTTCGTTTAGACACCCGGCGGGAACGCAAAGCTTCACTCTGATTTGGACGGACTTTATTTTATTTTATTTGTTTATTTCATTTTTAGGTATTTGGTTCAGGGTCTGGCTACGTAGGTCGGACTCGTACTGATCCTTCCGTCCCAGCCTTGGATTACAGTTGTGCGCCACCACGCCGTCTCCGTGGCCGGCTCTGCACACCCAGGGCGCTTAGATCGCTGAGCTATCTCTCCGGCTTGCTTGCTTGCTTGCTTTTCTTTTTTTTCTTTCTTTCTTTAAGACAGGATCTCACTATGTAGTTCAAGCTTCCTTTAACTCACTAGGTAGCCAAGGCTAGCCTGGAACTCTCGGAGATCCTCCTGCCTCAGTTTCCCCAGTGCTAGGATTGTAGGCATGTGTGACCGCTCCCGGCTTGGACAGATCTTCAGCTTGGACAGATCTGACGCTCAACTGGGAGCAGACTCTCAGTTGGACAAAGAAGGCAGAGGAGAGGGCTGGTGAGATAGCTCAGCAGACTAAGTGTCTGCTTAGGCAAGTCCAGTCTGGGCTTTGATTCTGTACAGCGTGCTGCCCTCGGGCGTACTGAGTCAGTGATCAGGTCTGAGTGTAGTGGCACATGTCTGTAATCCCATCCCTGGGGGAGGCTGAAAACAGGAGGATCACTACCAGTCGGAGCTGCACAGTGAGACCCTGTACCAAACACATTAAAATTTTTCCTTAAAAAATTTAAAAAGGAAGAGAAGAAACGAAAAGTCCTAGAGTGATACTAATAAAGGAACTTTGTAGGGAGCTGTACAATTTACCCTGAGTTTGCACGCACACACAAAGAAACTTTAAAAAACCTTACTCTGCAAAACAATCTTGTGCTCCCATTTTTCAGATGTCAAAACGGAGACTCAGTATAGACTGACGTAACAGGCTGAGCTAGAAAGAAATGCAAAGGGACTTCAGATCCAGCCCCCAAAAGACACAGCTCTGATGGAGAAGAGCAGGTGTACCTGTCAACAAAGGGACAAGGCTAGTTTTGTTTTTTAAAATTTTGTGTATTTGGTACAGTGTCTCACTTCGCAGCTTGGACTCTAGTGATCCACCTGTTTTCAGCCTCCCCAGGGCTGGGATTACAGGTGGCTGGGATTACAGGCGTGCACCACCACACCGGCCCTGAAGAGTCTTAAAGATGCCATGTACATTGGGCCCGTGTTCCATACCACAAACCCACAGATTGCGATGACTTCCATTCTCCAAGATCCAGCTGTTACTCAGGTACCACAGGACTAAACTTCAAGCACACCATGCAGTCTGTATGTTAATCTAGTTGGTAGTTAATTTATGCCCAACAGTGGATCCTCTGACAGACACTAGGTAAACAACTCAAAAGAGAAACATCCCAGACCTCCAGGGTGCACCAGACCCCTGGCACCTCCCCTCGCCCCCTGCACCTCCCCCTGCCCCAAGGCTGGCACCTTTTGCCCTTGAGGGGGCACCTTTTATTATTTTGTCTAATAAAACTGCCTGTGCCCCTCACTGCCTTGTCCTCCTTCAACAAATAAGTATTTATTGAAAAGCAACTGTGCCTGCAAGCAGGCCTAGGGGCTGGGGGTTTGATACCCGGGCCTGCTAGGACTGCCTTGACAGGCCCACCCTGGGGCGCACTTAGACCACAGTTGATACTTGGGGGGGGGGGAGCCTGTAATTGCAGCTCTTGGGAGGCTGTAAACAGGCAGATCACTACGAGTCTGATCTAGTAGCGAGACCCTGAACACCTTGTAGACCCTTCCCTTAAATAAAAAAAATATATATATATTTTAAAGAGAAGAAAACCTAAAAATCTCAAAGCAAGATAATCAGAGAGGTGCTGGGGAGATGGCTCAGTAGGATAAGCGCTTGACTGGCAAATGGAAGGATCTGAGTTCAATCCCCAGTTCTACCAAAAAAAAAAAAAAAAAAGATAATCAGAGAATAACAATTATATACGGTTACCCTTAAATTACTCAAAGTACAAGATATGGGTAATTAATTGTCCAGAAAATATTAACACAAACCTTTCTTGGCAATGAACCAAGAGCAACCAGTAGTGTAACTATTTTAGCAATCATACGTATATAGGTTTTTTTCTTTTCCCTTTTCTTGCTTCCCCCATCCCAGTTTCTCTTTCCTTTGGAACAATTTTTTCCCATTGCACAATATCTATTGTACATTTGGGATCTCACTCACTCTTTCACGTCTCACCCTAGGAAGACAATACAATGTTTACACATGTGAGCCAGATTTATTTCACTTATGAATCTGGACTACAGTTCCAACTGTTTACCTACATCTCAGCGCCTTCTGCAAGGCTTTTCTGCAACAGTAAGTTGAGAACCCACCCAGAGCGAAGCCATTCAGAGTGAGTTAAAGTCACCCTTTCCTTCTGGAGTACTTACACAGTCTGTTGTTTTTTTAAATTTTATTTGTGTGTGTGTGTGTGTGTGTGTGTGTGGCCAGCTCAGCCCACCAGGGGGCGCGGCTGGCTGGCATGTGGTGCTGGGGGATTGAACCGCGGTCCCTGTGCTTTGCTTAGCTTGTTCTAGGTAGGTGCTTTAGACCACTGAGCCATCTCACCAACCCCACACATTCTGTTGTTAATGGGCATCCAAGACCTTTTGGATCATGCATCTAACAAACAAAACTTCTGTGACTATCGCAAAGCTTGGCGTCAGCCTAGAAGCAGAGTTGCAGGGTCATAGAGAACATGTGCGACTTAGTCGTTGAGCCTCGCTGTTGGCCAGTGTGGCCGTGGCCGCACAGGTGCCTGCCAGCAGCCTGGGGGAGCTGGTGTGGCTCTGCTTCCTGGTAAAGCTTCGCCAGTCTCCCCCATTTCAGGAGCTCTCAAGCCTGCATCTCAGGCATCATTTCTCCCACAAGTCAGGATTAATGAAGTTGAATGTTTTTCTTCGTGTGTGTGTGTGGGTGTGTGCGCGCGCACATGTGCAATTTAGATACCCTCTTTGTGATACTGTCTTTCTGTATTCAAATTTTCATCTTCAGCCCTATTTTTATTTTTACTTTGAGATAGCCTGGATAAATCTATCAGTTCCCCAGGCTGGGCTCAAATTTGGATATTCCTGCCTCAGCCTCCCAGAGTGGTAGGATTACAGGCATGCAGATCACTGAGGGGGAGCAGTTAAGAGCTTTGGCACTGTAGACAGAACAGGATAGAGTCTGGGCTTCAAAGCTCACCTTACCGCTCCTTATGTGGGAGCTCAATTTGGAGCGAGTCAATGGCTCCAAAGGCTTGGTTTTGCATGGAGCTCAGTGTTGGGGCCATTTATTGCAGTAGCTGCATAAATACGAAGTGCTCAGCGCTCAGTGACTGCACAGGACCACTAGGACGACTCTCCTTGAAAGAAGAGCACACTGTCTCCATTTTGGCTAAACCTGACCCTGTTTCCATGGATGGACACATGCAGAGCTGGCTAAATTTTGTCTTTATCCCTTCAGCAGGCTTTAAGCCAAGCACAATGGGCCTACAGGAGCAGACGTGTAGTCTAAAGCAACGGGACAGGGAGCGCCGGGACTTCCGGTTTGTGTTACCTAGTCTGCGCGGCCTGAGCCTGTGTGGATATGGCTTGCGCAGCCGCCCGCTCCCCGGCAGACCAAGACAGGTTTATTTGTATCTACCCCGCTTATTTAAATAATAAGAAAACCATCGCAGAGGGGAGGCGGATCCCAATAAGTAAGGCTGTTGAAAATCCTACAGCTACCGAGATTCAGGATGTATGCTCAGCAGTTGGACTTAAAGCAGTTATCGAGAAAAATAAGATGTACTCTAGGGAATGGAATCGTGATGTTCAATACAGAGGCAGAGTTCGAGTCCAGCTGAAGCAGGAAGATGGCAGCCTCTGTCTGGGGCAGTTCCCATCACGTAAGTCAGTAATGTTGTATGCAGCAGAAATGATACCTAAGCTAAAAACCAGAACACAGAAAACAGAAGGTGATGACCCAAATCTTCAGCAAGGAGAGGGAAGTAAAAAAGGAAAAGGGAAGAAGAAGAAGTGATGGGCTGTGAGCATCAAGGGGCGACCCCTCTACC